AATCTCATATGCAGAATGATCAAGGAGGAATGCTTTGGCAAAGCTTTCTTGTGGAGTGTCCATGCAACAGAGGAAGTCTGAAATGGCAATTTTATAAAGTTTTTTTTTTTTCCTTAAATTAACTGACCACAAAGATGGCAAAATAGATTCTGAACTGCTGCCCTATGTCATTTGCCCCTGCATATCTGACCTAAAAATTATCTGGCACTCAGCTTGCCCCACTGCGGTGTGAGTTCATCTGAGGACTGTTTTTAATTAATTGCCCTAATGTACCAGGAAAACATATCTCTACACATTTTCTACAGAGCCTCTCATTATAAAATTATACTGGTTTGGTTTTGAGAATACTGTGCAGTCCCAGATTCCTCGCAGATCTATCATTTTAGAAAGTATCTGACTTCTGCTTCTAGTTAAAACCGGTCTATTAAAGAATTATCAAGGGGGCTGGGGAGATGGTTCCAAGAAATAAAGGCCTTGCTGTGCTGTGATGATCAGAGTTTGGGTTCCCGGAATCCAAGAGAACGCCACTCCTATGTAATCCCTCTGGCAATACACCTCACTGGCTCACCAAGAGCGAGCAGAGGGACCTGCTGCTTTACAGAGCAGAGTTTTCCCAGAAGATGTGAACAAATGTCTCTTCACCCAAAATAGGGCACAAGGAACAGACGGGAGAAACAATCCCGCTCGGGTCCAGCTTGGTAAAGCAATGAGTTTACTAATGTGGGTTAAGGAGCACGGGTGACCAAAAAGCAGCTCTCTGACAGAAACGCTCACCCCAGCACAGATGAGGCCGAATCCATGGCGCTTCTTGCAGCCAGCTCCGCCCAAATGCTCCGATGGCCAACAGTTGTTTCCTGCTTATGTAACCTTGGGCAGAGACCTATGAATCTTGTAGCTTCTTTGTGTCACGAGAGGATGCTTCCATTTGAAGGAAGTAGTTATTCAACATTACTCCAGCCTCCTGACCCTTGCTTAGGTCAAGCTGAGTGGTTTTGTGTGCAGATGTGCCCACCCAGACAGACAGAGTAGAGTCCCTCTAATGCTTGTATTTCTGAGTTCCATCTCTGGCTTCTTGGCAAGCGAATAACTTTCTCCAGTCTTCTTTTGTGCATCCCAGAGTGCCTAGGGACACATATCCGAATCTGATCTCAGCATCAGCCCGAGAACTGGAAGGGGAGTGCATCTCTGGCTTTCCCAACCTCTGACTCACTGACATGTCTGCTGGGAAGTTTTGTGCAGGAGGAGCTGTCCCATGTCTCGAAGAAGGTCAGCAGCACCCTGGTTCTGTCTGGTGAAAGTCCATAGGACCTTCCACACTTAAGATTTCACTGCTTTCACCAGCAGGGGCAGCATGGGGCTGACCCTGCTACCATCTCCTATTGTCTCACACTCCTCCTGTAGCCCAGGGGTGGTCTCAGCATTTACACAACCTGACCAGGCACCAGGGAAGGGCCAAGGAACTCCAAGATGTGCTTCCTGTTCCCAGAAGCTCACAGTTACTCTGGGGAGACAGGGCTGAGATCTGCAGCAGAAGTGATTGAGACAGCCACGGGAACACAGAGCCAAGGAGCAGTGGTCCAGCAGGGGAAGGAGTCAGAAACAACCAATGCCAGAGAAGAGGATCAAGGAGACAAGGCTGAGTCAGGCAGTTGCCAGGCAGGTGGTGCTATGGGCATCTTTAGGGGTAGAGCCAGGACTGATCTAGGAAACGATGGATAGGATTGGTGAGGGCAAAAGCATGAAGGCTGGACAGATGGCCTGGCGGGGGGCCGTGCAGGGGTGCAAGCAGCCCCTCTCTGAGGTGCACAGAGTTGCTGAGCCAATTGTGCTAGGGGTCTGCAAGGGTTGAGTAAAGTGAAGAGGAGACAGCGGGGATGAGTCCTTTCTTAGGGCTCATGACCTCCCATCACAAATGTAACAACCAATCAGTCCCATGCTCAGAGTGGCAGGATTTTCTGAACCCTTCACCTGCCTCCTGGAAGCTGTCACTGGGAAGCTATGACTCAGGTCCTCCCCCGCCCAGGTGAGTCACACACCTGCAACATTCTTGCAGTAAGTACTGCTGCCTGAACTGTCACCTGTGACCACCTCGGTCCCCTCAGAGCACCAGGCTCGACCCTTGCTTCCTGGGACAGCTTCTCATGCTGGAGCATCATTCTTTGCTCCCCTGGGCATTTCACACGGTACCAATGTACCTCATCTACATGACAACTCAGCCTGTCCCACGACCTGTTGGATCCTCTGAACAGTCCCAGTGGTAGCGTGTGCTCGTTTCGCCTGCCATGAAGCCTAGAGATGTGACATGGTTTCATGTGTCTCTCCTCCCTCTTCTCCATCTGTATTCAGGAGCTACCATAGCAGTGAGCTCCCCCCGGGAGCAGTATGAAATGGCCACCTCCTCAGGACTAGTGTCCATGAGTGACACAGCTGACAGGAAGCAGGTGACAAGATGTGATCTCCTTGCCTCCACCAGCCCAATCATGCTGCTGTTCAAAAGCAGGCACTCCATCACCTCTTCCCTGATGTATTGGAGGTCATGGTAATATGCGTTCAGGAGGCCTGGGTTGACCAGTAGTCCCTGTCTATATAGGTCCTGTGTGGCAGAACAAAGACCACGCTCAGTGTCATATCTGAGTAAAGGGAGTGCAGGTCAACTTCAAGCCAACCAAAAGGGCAGACATATTAGGAGCACTGGACCCCTAAGGGCTGTGAAGCAGTGAGACAGTCCCCTGAATGGGTGATGGTGCAGTCATAGTGTCTGATGAACCAGGCAGTTCCAGGAATGTCCTCCACCAATCTAGGGCAAGGCAGGCAGGGCAGGGTGTGCCACCATTGCCATTGACAAGGAAATGAGAACCCAACCCCATGGTCAGGGCTACCACAGACAGCCCCAAAGCTTGTATCCTGTGTACAAGAACCACAGCCTCCATTATGCACAGCTCTTTTTGAAGCACACCACCCCGGCCTGAGAGTGTTTTTCTGATTTGCAGTGGTACCCAGCCAGTCGGTCCCAGTAACCACAAGAACCTGAACTTGTCCCATATGCCAGCTCTCTCCATGTCTTCATGCCCATTCCTGAGCGCAGATGCAGCATCACAAACCTCTTAAACGCTTCAGCTTACTCTGTGTCCCATTTAGTACCATCTGCCCAAACAGGCTGGGGCCAAGGAATGTGTCCTGGGGAGCCTATACCCCTTCCCATACTCCTGGTTCTGAGCCTGACACCTGGAGCCTGGAAAGCCCTGTTTAGACAGGCAGGCAGGCAGGCAGGCAGATAGGCAGACAGGCAGACAGGTAGACAGGCAGACAGGCAGACAGGCAGGCAGGCAGACAAACAGGCAGGCAGACAAACAGGCAGGCAGGCAGGCAGACAAACAGGCAGGCAGACAGGCAGGCAGACAGGCAAACTGAGCTCCAGACAAAGACTACAGCAGATGGGATTACAGACTGTGTGCCCCTAACCTGTACTTCTCACAGCACCCCGCTCTGTCCTTCCCATATCCTCAGCCATGGAATGATGAGGTGCCTCTGGGAGGAACAGACAGGGCTTGGGTGTTCAGGCTGTCCTTTTCTATGCCAATATAGGAGAAAAAAAAGGAGGGTGACCAGAAACATCCTTTATCCTCTCTGCCTCGGGCTCTTTAGATGAAAGGCAGGCTAACCCCCCCTCACACACACACACACAGCTAGAGGGACCAGCAACTTTCCCTGGTCACCAATGATAGCCAGCCACAGTGCTGGAAGGACAGGATGCAATGACGTTACCGAAAACCACGTGTTAATTTAACGGGCAGCTTTGCCCAGGCTCTTTCTCTAGGAGTTGAAAGAAACCCCACTCTCCTTGTATTTCCCAAGCCCTGTCCATGCAGTCTCCCACACTTAATGTGAGGTCAGGTCTGTGGGATCTGTCTTGCCCTCCTGCCCACATGCCTTTCCCTGCTTCACGAGCCTGGCATCTCAGATGACACCCGTGGGTGGCACCTCCAAATCCTGTGATCCTAATACACATTGGTGGCTGCCATGTTGTGGCCAGATGTGGCTCTAGGGAGAAGAGGGATATTCTCCCCTCCTCTCATTTCTTTTTCTCCACTCTCTCTCCACCCTCCTCTCTTCCTTGTCCCTTGGGTACCCGAGGTCTACTTCCCCTCGCTGCTCCTGTCCAGACCTCCCCCAGACCACATGGAACTGACCTGTTGGTTCCCCCGAAGCTCAGAAGTGCTGCTGACAGTACCCAGCCATGTGGGAGCCAGGAGAGAGGTGCACACACAGCTATCTGAAGCTCAGGGCTGGCACTGAGGAGCCTGGGAGAGGCAGGCATGGTGAGGGCAGGCGAGAGCCCTGAGGAAAGCTATGTAGGATAGGAATCAGGCATCAGGGATGGAAGATATCACCCTAATCACCATCCATGGGCTTCTGTCTTTGCCTTCTCCAGAGCCCTATTTCCTGGCCCACCTAGTCTCTCCTTTCCAGCCACCTGAATGATTGCCATCACCCGAACTCAAATGCTCTGCACTTCCTGGGCAGACTGGAGTGTGCGGCTCTCCTTCTCTGCCTGGCAAGTGCCTCTGGGTTCTTTTCAGAGAGGCGCCATGAGTGTCAGCACCTCCACAAGGCCTGCTCTGACTCCCCACCACCCCAGGAGCCTTTAGGGTTACCCCACAGAAACACTGACAACATGGCACTCGAATAACGTCATATTTCCCACCCGCCATGAGGCAGTAGTACTTTATCCACAATGCCTGGCACCTGGCACCCAGTCAGTGTCCACTCAAGCTTGGATGATGGGAGGACTCTTGAGCTTCCCATGTGGTAAGTGGGAAACTTGGTGGTGGCAGCCAATAAGGGCTGATATGTCCAGATGTGAATAAAAAGAGGAGGATGGGGATGAGAGAGGGGTCCTGGCAGGTATCTCTGCCCCGCCCCCCCACTTCTTTGCAGTGGCTTTTGTTATGGGGGAGGGGCCAGATCCCCAGGGTGACCATTCCTCTCCTTGCTCCTAGTATTTCTGCCTGTTGCTGGTCATCTTCCTCGTGGAGCTGGTGGCTGGGGTCCTGGCGCATGTGTACTACCAGAGGGTAAGTACACTGTCCTATTGCAGAGTTTTCTGTTGGTGCCATAACAGAGTCACAGCAAGACTCAGGGCCTCATAGGTGGCCCTGTTTCCTGGGCTGGTGATCCTCTGCACCCCAGTTTCCTATCCAGATCTAGTGGATCTCTCTGCCTCTGTTGGCACTGCTGGGTTTCATGTGGGAACATGAGTGAGAGCTTCTCACGGAAGCCACTCCCCTCCAGGGATCCCTAAGCAAGGAACACACCTGCTAAGACAGCCTCTGAGTAAGGATCAGAAAGGATCAGATGGCAGATTGCCAGATTGCAAAGACTGGAGTAGGCCCCGCCTACCCGGATGGGTGAGAGTCAGAATCTCCTTCTCCCTATGCTTATGGCTTCAGGCTCAAGATTTGAGGACAAGAACAGGGTGACATTGGGCTGAATAGACAGCACATCCCAACCAAGCAGGTCATTTGCAGCCAGCTTCTACACTGTGTCCCAGGGTCCCAGGGGCCCATATATTGAACCTCATCTTTTAATCAGAGTTCAAATCTACAGCAAGTTGCAGGCCGCTCCCATGAGGCAAAGCATGGGCTGTGTCATCCCCAGCCCCACTGTCAGTTAGCCCTTCACACCTTGCCTTCACATCATCTCACGAGGTTTGAATCATTCCAGTGTCCTGACGCCAGCTGGTGAGGATTTGGAGACACCTGGGTCCTAGAGGGAGGCAGGGGAACGTGCTGACACTCCTCCGTCTCCCCTCCCCAGCTGAGCGACGAGCTGAAACGGCACCTGAACAGCACCTTGACTGAGCGCTACGGGCATCCCAGGGCCGCTGAGATCACAGCCTCAGTGGACCGGCTGCAGCAGGACGTAAGCCACACAGAGAGATACAGGGTTACATCCTGCCTCTCCCAGTCTGTGTGACCTCGGGACAACACACTCACCCTCTCTGAGCTTCAGTTTACACTTCTCTAACCTACGCTGTTTGGGGGAGGGGTGCGGTGATGATGATCACCCGACACCGTGGAAAGTACTCAGTGAACCCTGGCTTCCCCAATATCCTCTTTTCGCTCTGTTCAAGCCGCACCCCAAGCTGCCTTCCATTTTGGCTCTCCTGGGACAGAAAGATGCTCTCAGCTGTCTGTAGACTAGTTTTGCCTTTCCTCAGAAAGATGGGTACCAAGGCCCCAGTGGTCTAGACCAGGCCATTGTGGCTCAGACAAGAAAGAATCTTCTTGCTGGAAGCCATTGGACAGCACGTGAGAGGTGGGGGAAAGTCCTGTTTCCAAGAAGACACAGCAGACCCCAGAGAAAATGCCTACAAGCATGTGTGTGTACATATAGGTACACGTGACATAGGTAGCCATGCCGCATGTCCTCAGCCCAGGAGCTAGGACGAAGCGACCCACGCTCTTGGTCACCTATTGCGAGCAGCGCACACCTGCTGGGTCCCACCGTTAAGGAGCTATGTGAGAGTAGGGCAGGAGCCTTGACGGGGAGGGGGAGGGGAGGAGGTTCTCACTCAGAGAGCTGTGGACAATAGCTGACAGGAGGACAAGGACGTTTTTTCTTGGGCACCTCAGAGAGCAGGGCTGAGGGGCTGGAGGTGGCCTGGAGGAGAGCAGGGCCTCGCTTGGTGGGAAGCGGCCAAACACAGATCAAGTGTGTTTCCACTTAAAATAAAGCCCGCCACTGACCTGCCTCCATGGCACCAGTCCGTGTAACCTGAGCCTCTCCCAAGCCGGGGCACTTAGTGTCCTGGCCAGCACCCAGGGAGGAAGGACCAAGCCTACAGTGGTGGATCGGAACCGGGGTCACATTCAGGCTACATGTAATAAAGGACACACAGGCACACGGACCGCCGCTCACATCACGAGGATAGTGACAGTCGTGCCTTGATACCTGCTGGCTCTGTGCAAATGCTGAGCGCTCTCCAAGCACCTACTCCGTCCATCCTCACACGGCCCCACCTCAGAGGCTTTTGTCCTCATCTCACAAGCGATGTAGCAAGCTCAGGGTCAGCAGCTCATGCGCATGCGCTCGCGCATGCACACACAGACACAACTGTCATGTGCAACTGTCATGTGACTCTCAGCACAGCCTACCCCAGCCCTTGTTCTGTGTGTGCTGTCACATACTCTGTGCTCTCATGAGCTGTGGTTGTGCTCTTCCTGTCAAAGCTGGGCTTTGACCTTTCCACGTCTTATCCCACTGTTAGGTCATGTGTGTGTGCTCTGGGCGGGATATTATGTGGTGTGCACGCTCTCACTGCTATGCCGTGTGTATACACAGATCCTGCTTGTTACATTGTGTACGCCCTCTGCCAGTTCTCTTGTGCTCAAAGCATGTTTAGTGTGGACAGTCACATGCAGGGTCTCTGTTCACACTTACAGGGTTTTGTTTGTTTGGTTGGTTGGTTGGTTGTTCTTTTGGAGACAGGGTTTCTCTGTGGAGCCCTGGCTGTCCCGGACTCGCTTTGTAGACCAGGCTGGCCTCGAACTCACAGCAACCTGCCTGCCTCTGCCTCCCTGAGTGCTGGGATTACAGGCATGTGCCACCACGCTCGGCTCACTTACAGGCTTTTGCTGACCCCAAACAAATCACTCCCCCTTCTTCCTCCATCTCCCTCTCAAGGTCAGTAAACGGTAAGCTAAAAGCCAAGCCCTCAGCCTTGTTCCTGGCATGTAGTAGGTAGCTAGCTACCATTTGGGTCTAATGTCCCTGAACCCACACCCAAGAGACAGACTTGACGCAGCTGGGTCATGCAGCTTAGGATGCAAGGTCTCAGGATCTCAGTGTCCTGACTCAGAGGGGAGAAGTGACAAGCGTTTGACCTTTGATGCACTCTGAATGCGGTAGAGTACAGACCTGATGGATTGTACTCTATAGTCACTGCTGACTGGCCTGTGTCCTGCATGGCCTCCGGGACACACTCCATGCCCTTCTGCTCTCGGGGCTCCTAACTTTAAAACCCAGTAGAGAGCCTGGAACCTCTGATAAGGTTGGGTCCTTTTCCCCAACTGGATGACCAGGGCATCTCCCCCTTGTGGTTTCCCCCTGCCCTGACCCTGGCTGTACACCCTCATGGCACCCAACCTCACAATCGTGGAAGCCCCACACCCATCTGCCCCCACCAATCTCTCAGATAATCCCTACCCCTAGAATATCTGGCACAAGGCAGCCAACAGGTACCCTGCAGAGAAAGGTCCCAGAGAGACTCCGTCCTTCTCCAAAGAAGAAGGGAGATCAGAGGGGAGAGGGGCCAGTCTGAATAGCATAACCGGTGGCCCTGGGTCTCAGGGACAGGAGCACCACACAAACCCTTCTCACCCCGGCCCACCTTCTCTTCTCAGTTCAAGTGCTGCGGCAGTAACAGCTCAGCTGACTGGCAGCGCAGCGCGTACATCCTGTCTGAGGGAGCCCTGGGTCGCCAGGTGCCTGACAGCTGCTGCAAGACAGTGGTAGCCCGCTGTGGCCAGCGGGTCCACCCCTCCAACATCTACAAGGTGGAGGTGAGTGCTGAGGTCACCTAGGGTCTGGGAAGGGACCCCCAGAAAGGCCAGCTCAGTGAGCAGGTGTGGGAAAGCAAAACACATGCTTTGGCCTGAGATCACAGAGCCCAGGATCCTCAAAGGCCTGACGGAGTACTAAGGATGAATAGGTTCTCCTGAAAGTCCCAGACACCATGGCCTGTCCCCTGGGGCTCTCAAAATGGCCATGAGAAATCCCAAGTCTGGTCCCTTCAACCACTGGCATCCTCCAGCCTCAGCTGCACACAGGATAACAGCTACCCATCCCCCCTGCCCACCCACCTGATGCTGGGCCAAGGCCTGAGCAACCCACCTCTCTACCTCGCAGGGAGGCTGCATGGCCAAGCTGGAGCAGTTCCTGGCTGACCACCTGCTGCTCATGGGGGCAGTGGGCATTGGGGTGGCTTGTCTTCAGGTAAGTCAAGTAGACCTCAGTGGAGGTCTCGAACTCTGCCTTGGGGGAAGTAGCTTTGTACCTGCCCACCCGGTCCTGCCCCCTCACCCTATCCCTGTCTCCCTTTGTAACCGAGGATGGACCACACTCTCAGTCTCATCCCCCAGAGATCCTTGAACAGCTTGAATTTGTCAGGAACAGGGACCTGGGCACACCTGAGAGTGGGGTCAGGTATCTGGAATGTGCCCCGTGGGCACAGCACAGCCTGCTGGGCTTATGAACATGGATGGCAGGGTGTGGGCCCAGCTGTGTGTGTTTAAGTCGCCTGTGCACATATGTGCTTCTGGGGAGATTCACCCAGTCTCCCTGAGGATGGGAAGAGCTACACTCTGCTCTTGGTGCCTCTCCCTGCATGCTCCTCCTCTAGCCTCCATCCAGGAAGTGAGAGCTTCAGTCCCATCATTTTCGACAATCAAGGGACCTCAGGGTCCTCAGGGGAGGAGCCAGGAGGGGATCCTCAGAGGCTGAGCAGGCACAGAAAGCGGTCCCTTCCTCCTGTATGCGTCCTTCCTCTGGTGGGAGCTGTGTGATGGCTGCTTTTCTAGGAGGACCTAGGCACCCTGCTACGCTGCTCTGCATCTCCTACCCCAGTGCTGTAAGTGGCGCCCCAAGAAGGGAAGGGGCTGCACAGTCAGACACCGGGATCCCAGTCTGGCTCTGGCTCCACATGACCTTGAGCCGCTTCTTGCCCTCCTTGTCCTTCAACTTCATCTGCAAAAGGAGGCTCACCTTGCCTATGTAAGAGTACAGAAGAGCACATGGCCCACACGGGGCTCCTGGCATGTGCGCACATGTGCGCGCGCGCGCGCACACACACACACACACACACACACACAGCTCTGTAGATCGGTACAAGCTGGCTTTCTCTGGTTCTCTGTGGTCTCAGGGCATTTTCCGAGTCTTCCTCTTAATGGATCCACACCCCAGACCCAAGCCGGGTGGGCAGAGCACTCTCCTTATTTCCCAGGTCAAAACCTGAGACCCAGAGAGACCACACACAGACCTTGTGCCTCCACCTGCCACCTATACGGCCCTTGGCTTTCCTAAGTGCGCTACCTCACACAGAGGCCCCCTGGGGGTGGGGGGAGGAAACGCATAGAATGCTAGACTCCCAGCATAGCACTCCTGTCTCCAGAGGGAGTTCCACTCCCCTCCCAGGGGGACAGGAGGGCCTGCCACAGCCTCCCTTGCTGAGAAGAAGGCCCTCAGGGGAGAGCCTTCTTGATTCTGCCACTGGTGAGCTAGGCCACATGACCTCCAGGCCAGTTATTGCATCTCTGGGCCTCAATGGTTCATAAAATGAAGCCACTCCTCCTCCTGTGATGGTTGGTCATGCATGTAAGCCATGGGGAGGGGGTCGCGGGGGGCTCATTGCCAAGTGGATGCAGGTAGCCCATAAAAGATGCGCTTATTTCTACACACGTCCATCATCTCTCCAAAATTTCCCAATAGCTCCTTTGTAGCCTTGATGCTAGACTAGGGAGCCCAGGAGCAGTGCTTGGCCCTTCTTGCAGTTCCCAGGACAGGCCCTTCCCTTTGTAGTGAACCCAGAGGAGCTGCTGCTAGGACCAGGCAGGACTACCCATCACTCCAGCTTCAGGCTCATTGGGGTTTCCAGGGACCCACCACACAGATTTTTAGGGGTCTGCCCTAGAAGGACATTGACCAGGCCCTGGTCCACCTCTGTCCACTTCTTCCTGGCCTTTGTCAGCACAAAGTAGCCAAAGGTAATGAACCTGAGGACTGGGCATGAGGCTACAAATGCTTAGAGTCCAAAGTCAGAGCAGGTTAGTACTACTGTGCTAGTCTAACGTTCAGGACCAGGCCACTGGGCAGACAGTGTACCTGCAGGCCTTGGCACCTCCCCGAACTGTGACTCTGCAGCTCACCCCTTGCTCAGGTTTCTCCCTGTGGTCTCTGAACAGAGGCTGGTAATGGCCAAGCCTCGGTTAGAGTGCCCTCTACTGGCCAGAGATGGACATTAATCTGCCCAGTCCTTCCAGGCAGCCTACAGATGAGGTATGGAAGGCTCAGGGGGTGGGAGAAGAAAGCCACGTGGGGCCTTCCCACAGGAGTCTAGCGGCAAGGTGGGAACTATGGGTGGAATTTACAAGAGACCCATCAGAAGCCTCTGAATGTGACTGGAATGACCCAACAGGGGCCTTCACAGTGCTTTCTCTGTGACTGCAAGCTGGAGCAGAAGTTGAGTGGCAGGAATGCTAAAAGGAGAAGGCCCTCCACTCAGCGAGGTCGTCCTCTGGGCACACGCTTGCTCCTCTCCTCAGCATTTCCAGGCTGGTGTGGCCTCGCTGTATGGCTCCACACACTTAAGGTCCTGTCGGTCAATCAACCTGTGCTCACTCAGGGTGGAGGGCTGTGGGCCTGTTCATACACACTGAACATGTATATGCATATGGATATATACACACATACATATATACATACCACACACACATATATGTGTGTATATCTATATATGTGAATGTATATATATATATATATATATATATATATATATATATATATATATATGGGACTAACTATTCCCAGAGATGGAAGGTTACTTGTGGAAGATTACCCAGCCACTGTGGTGGCAGAGCCAACCAGCACTCCCCAGCCACCACCCCCCATGCCTGTATTCTTTTTCCTCTACCAGCTTCCTCTCTTGTGAGCTGCTTCCACTCTAGCAGAATCTCAGAAAATAATTTGTAGAATATTCTAGCCGGGAAACTTCAGAAAGGTTATAGTAGCCTAGGGATCTTTTTTTGGCCATCCTCCCCACGCCCAGCGGAGGCCACTCCCACCCAGGAGACTTCAGAGGAGGTTCTGGGGCACACTGCACTGGCTTTGTAGCAGGGCCATGCTCTGCCCGTGGAGGGCAGGTGTGGGGGCTTTCATAGGCACGGGGGAGGGCAGAGGAGGACCCAGGGTGTCTCCCTGCAACCAGGCAGTATCACCCAATGTACTGGATTTGCTGGGGAGAAAAAAAAAAAAAAGTGAAAGCTGCTCTGGGTATTCTTGAGGCCAGGGAGAATTCCTGGAGGAGGCAACGGATACTAAATTCTGAAGAGGTTTGACAAGAAGCGGCGGGAGGTGACCACAGAGTGAATGGGGAGTCAGGAGCAGCACATGGAAAGGCCCGACAGGCTCACATGGCCCTGCTGGCCTCTCTCAGCTGTGAGGGACAGGGCTCCGGCTTTGGAAGAACTGTGCCTGCCAGGACAGGCTTGTGACCCTGAGGTCACACAGCTGTAGTCACACCACACAGTATAAATACCCAGCTGAAACAGAACCAACCTCAACAACCCACAGGTGGGATGCCAACGTATTTCAGAGCCTAGAAAAGAGACAGCTGAGGCTGGGATCTGCAGGCCATTAGGGTGAATGGAAAGGTCACGTGGGCCAAGCCAGGCTCTTCCGTCATGCTGACCAAAGACCACCAGGTGCTGGCTGAGAAGCCCCGTAAGAAACCAAGAGCACCACAGCCCCCGTTAAAAAAAAAAAAAATGCCCCACGTGGGGCCAAGTGCTGTACCAAGCAACATCCCAAGGAGCCCTGTGTCCTGTGCAAGTGGAGTTGGTAGCAGGAGCTAAACCCAGGGGATAGGCACTGCCCCCAGGGACTCCTGTGCTCGCTGTGCTTGCTGCTTGGATCATCCATGCTGGCTTCTGTGTCCTCTGCAGAAAGGGAGACAGCGGTACTTGAGTAGGGCCTCATGAGCTATCAGCCTTTACCCTCTGTGCACTTAAGGAGACATGTGTATGCTCATGTGACTCTCTCTCCCTCTCTCTCTGTGTCCACATGCGTACACTGTGCAATTCAGAATGAGGAACGTGTGCATGTATGCATGTGTGTGTGCTCCTGTGCATGCACTAATAAGAGCATCCCTCCACACAGTTCAGGGGGAAGTACGCGTGCACAGGTGTGCATGTGTGCCTGTGCTTTGATGAGAGTGCCTTCCCCATGCACTTGCTCTGGCTGTTCAAGGCATCCATCTCAAATAAGTCGTGTGTGTCGGGGGCTCTTGCAGGACCATCGAGAGTGAACTACACCCTCAGGTGAGGTGGGCATAGCCCACAACACACGCAGGCAATGCCCTCTTTCTGCGCATCAGAAAGATGCAGGTCACCCGTGGGAAAAGCATCCAACTGTGAGATGGAGACAGGAGCATGCCACAATCCCTGGGTGCATGTCTGTGCATGGCTGTGACAGCGCCTGCTTAAAGCCAGTGGAGGCAAGATAACCTCTTAAGCCGCCTTTGGGCTTCTTATCCTGAGTCCCCGAGGTGGATTAGCAGAGCTCTTAGCACTGAGGCTAAAGCCGAAAGCAGCATTTGTGGCCTCCGTCATCCACCCTGTTGGGCTGGGGCAGAGGAGTGGGAGGAAGGCAAAGAGATAAACCTGCCCTAGATGACCTGAAGCCAACCTGACAAGGGCGGGCAGCTGCCTCAGGCTGCACTCCTCTCCTCGGGTCTGTTCCTACTCTGGCTGGAACTCTACTCACACAGGCCGGTGGAGCCAAGGTCAGATCTGTAGAATAAGGCAGGGAAGGGCAGGACGGCCCCTTACATAGAGGCATTCACCTTCATGCCTGTGCCGTGTGATGGTGTGGGACCACTTGACACACGGCTTTCATGCTAAACACAGAGTAGAGATACCAGCAACTACACTGTCACCACCAGGATCAGGATGACAGCCATGGGGCAACAAGGTCTGACACATCCCCATCTCTTTGTCCTTGAGGTACCCCTGGGTAGGAAAGAGGAGACGTGGAAGAGACAGCTTCGGGGGTGGGAGAGCCAAGAGCGTGGGGTGGAGAACCCAGATCCTCTGTAGTTTGGGAATGGGAACCATATCCGATCCTGGGCAGGTGGGGTCCTCTGTATCCTTGTTTAGCCAGTGGATCCAGCAGGGGTACTGGCAGGCAAGATGCCAGAGTTCCCATGCAGAGCTCGTAGGAACGTTGAGTGCTCCTCCCAGAATTGTGATGGGCTTTAGTTTGTGTCTATAGAGCTCTAGGGAAGCAGGAAGCAGGAAGCAGTTTTAGAAGTGATTCAGACAGCTCTGGTGCTTGAGTGGGATGTCATCACAGAAAAGCCAGATAAACGGAAAAGCTCTAGGCCCACAGGCCAGTAGCACAAACTGGGTGTGTGCTTGAGGGGATAGCAGCCACTGGGCCCCAACCCAGACCCACAGGGTAACCATAGCAGTGATTGGAGCCCATTCTAGCACAGAAGTCATGCCCTTTGGGAAGCCCTTCTCAGAGCTTGCTCCCCATACACCACACACCAGAGCAACCTCACCTCCCTCCACCGGGGGTGGGGGCTCTTGTGAGAAATGCATGCCCTTCCAGGTGGGCAAGACCCGAAGGGACACAGATGTCCAGCCCTCTCCAGTGTCATTAACTGCCCCCCAGGATTCAGCCAGAAGGCTACCGGGCTCTCACGTCTCTGCTCTCTGCTCTCTCCCCACATGACAGATCTGCGGGATGGTTCTCACCTGCTGCTTGCACCGAAGGCTCCAGCAACAATTCTATTAAAGGGCGCCCCTGAAGCCTGCTCACCATCCCACATAAGGGCTCACATCCCCACATCCTGAAGCAGGCCTGCAGAGTTGGTGCAGGGGCCATGGGCTTCCTTTACCCGATGCAGAGCCCACCAAGTGCCTGTGATTGTGGCTCCTGTGCTTCCCAGCTGGGCAGGGTCCTCAGATCACCCCTCCACTTCTAAGCACTCATCTGCCCCCAGAATCCTAGTGAAGGGATGGTCCTGGCAAGAGGCATCCAGAGCCCTTTGCCAGGCATGGAGCACTGTGGACAACAGGAGGGCAGAACCTGGCTCCCTCCACTCCATCTCCATGCCTGAGTCTAGAGTAGAAGGCTGGCAGGCTGGTCCCTCTGAGACTCCTGTACGGCATGGGCCCCAGCTGGCTTTCCTCAGAGAAAAGCACAACTTTGGGCAGACTTAGCTCACCCCTTCCCAAAACCTAGCTGGTTTTTTGATCTCCCCACACAGTAGCTGGCCATGTCCTTCCTGTAAGGCCTGGGACAGGAGTAGCCTAAGGTGGGACAGCTTAAGACTAGGCTGTTGGAGCCACCAGGATGCTAAGGAGGCAGGGTTGGTAACAGCACCTGGGAGAGTCATGTGATGCTCACAAGACCCACCCACCCCCACCTCGTTCCATTCCTAGTCTTGACTCCCAAAGTGCTAGGTTTAAAATGTTAGTGAATATAAAGCTCTTCCCCAGGGGAGCACACCCCAGGCTTGTTAGTCACAGCTGCCTGCATCCCACTTCCTGGTACCTTCATGACCCCACTGTTTCCCTTCCACTGTGCTCTCTACTTTCATCTTCACCATCCTGGAGTAGACACCACCCCCTCCTTTGCTGAACGAAATAGAGACTATTCAGGGAGCATTCCCCATGTGTCAAAGGATAAAGAAAGAAAACCCTAGGGAAATTAACGGTTGGTAGCAGGTAGTAGGGGATCCCCACAGTGGCATCTTGCTGACCAAAAGCACTCAGTTCACCTTTCACCTGACCCAGCTCTCACTGCAGCAGGCCCAGATCCTGCTGAGCTGAGTCAGTTGTTGGAGGGAGATGAGCTAGTACGTGATGGGCTAAGGGTCACTGGTTGCTGTGACCAGCATAGGCCTAGAGTTCCATTCTCAGGGCAGGAAGGAGCTGTGTGAAACACCAGGCTCTCGGGTCAGACAGCCTCCTCCATCCTGGCATTCCCCGGGCACCACTTAGAGCCTGGGCTGGTTTATGTTGTCTGCCTGAAGGGCCCTGGGTTTGGCTGCAAAAACTCAGTAGAAAGAAAACACTCCCAACAATCCCAGACTACACTATGGCTACCCTCCATCTTCCCAGGATTCACGCAGATACTCAAAGACCGTCTGCGGTCCCCAAGACGGCTCCCCTGGAGGTTCTGAGGGGAGAGCCTAGAAGGAGGATTGAGGGGGGAAAGGTGAGGGGCCCAGACCATGTTATTCCCAAAAAGGCACTGAGGAAGGTGACAGTGTATAGAGGGGGAACTGTGGCATCAAATATCTGCTTTGGTAGGCTCCCTTAATCCTCAGGCAGATGAAGACAGATGCCAAGCAGGCACCATTTGTACATCCGTGAGGCAGAGGTAGTCCAAATGTGACCTCCTTGATCGTATAACAGCCTTGGTGACAAAATGGGTTTAGAAGACATAAAACACAGAGTAGGCCAGGTTCGGTCCAGCAGCTGCAAAGACTGGACCCAAGGATGGAATCTGTAGTGAGGTGTGTCTATCAAATTGATGCCAGATTCTTCCTATTCACCCTCAGGGACAGGTCCCTGTTTGGAGGTCATCAGTCTGAGTTTCTTAAAGAGAGAGAACACACCTGTACAATGCCATCCCAGAAAATATACTGGGGTCCCGTGCCAGGCCCCGAGCGCCATGTAGCTGAGGCCAGAGCACCTGCACCCTGAGCACATGAATCACCGTTCCCTAAGCTCAAGGTGGCCACCTCAAAAACACAGCATAGTCCCCCAAATCCTCCCCAAATGACCAGAGTTTGGGGAGCAAGGGTGAACCTTCGTCTATAATATGGAGATGAGGCGTCTACATGCATTTGTCTTTTTCCCTCCCCATCTGTGTACCCCACTTCCCACAGCACCTCTGGCATGGCTTTGGGGATGTTCATTGAGGGGTCCTTCAATATGTTATCCACAGTGACACCAACAGTATGTGCTACAGTCCCCATGCTGCTGATGAAGAAACTAAGGCTTGGCCATAATTTGAAGTCAATGGTGATGGCTGCTGTCATGGCCCCGGCCGGGTGGACTCAAAAAAAGCTGGAAGCCCCTCTGCCCCAGCACCAGCTGACAGGTTGGCATTCAGGAGCAGAGTGTCCTAGGGTTGGCCAAGCAGTGGCAGCCTTAACACCTCCCAGGTTGGATGGGACCATCCACAGTGTTCAAACGCCAGCAGCCTTTTGCATTCACAGTTGAAGCACACACCTAGCTTATTTCAGAATGACAACCAGGCCCTGTGGGGAAGCTAAACAGCCAGGGCTCCTAGAAATGCCCCAGGCCATACCCAGTGGCCTATACAGCCATTACAGTGAAAGCAGCGACTGTCCTTGGTGATCAGCCTCCATGCAGATGGGACTCACACCATGCCGTGACCACTGGCTGGGACATGAACTACCTCTCCCTGCTTTCCCACTCTCAAACGGGCCCTGGCTGCCGACACGGAGCCTCCCCCTCAGGCCAGGCCTTCCTCTGCCCTGTTGTTCCCCCCCCCCCCCTCCCCTGTATTGATCATTTGTTATTTCTGGGCTCAGGAGACTTCCATCTTGAGAGCGCTCACCCTTTCTTGACACAGAGTTCAGGTCCTAAAGGCACTGGTAGGGAGGATGTACAGCAGCTTGGTGTGAGAAGCCACTCAGAGCTGGGAACCCACCCTCAGCTCAGAATCTGCCACTCTGGACAGCTTCCAGGGTTTTGAAGCCAAGGGAATGAACGGATCAGTTAGAACCCCAGCAGCTTTGAAAATGGCCTCTGCGCATTGGCTCTACTGGGCCAGGGCAAAGAGGCAAGAGAAGGGAGGGCAGCTGAAGCCGTTCAGGAGAAAAGCAGCCGGCTTTGTTTTGAGCAAACCACCCTTCCTGGCCAGTACACTTGCTCTCCCCTCAGAACCTCCAGGGGAGCCTTCAGATCAGGACTCCGCCTCCCCAGAGTTGCTCCAAGGAAGGCCAGAGCCAACAGTTGGCATTCTTGTTAAGTTTCCAGGTGGTGGTGACGCCACCGACTAGAAAGCACACTGAACCACACAAGGACACGGCTACCTTCCTTCAGATGCCAGAGCCCCCAAGGGTCAAAAGCCATTAAGGCCATCTGGCCCGAGCCTCTCATGGAGCAGCTTGATACTGCTCCCACTGGGTCCACAGAGAGGGTGGGATGAAGCCGGCCGCTGAGCGGTTTACAATCAGCCAAGCACGTGCGCATGCTCCACACACCACCTGCCCTATTGCGGCTAGGCCAGATGCCCGGGTCTTCTTCCTGAAAGGTGACCCTGACACTCCCAGATTCCACCTTTTACTACGTGCCTTAGGGTGGCTCTGCTGCCTCCAGCTGGACATCAAGCCTCCCTCATCCTTCCCCTCCTGCTTACATACCTGTGAAACCCGCTCCTACCCCACGCCAGTACCGACAGAAATTCCAGAGAGCTCATTGTTAGGAGGCCAGATGGGCTCCTGGGTCCAGCTGGCTCATGGAGGTGACTCGTCAGATATTCCGAAAAGACAGAAGTTGCCTTAACCTACCGCTTCCAGTGAAACTCCAGATGTGAGATGCGCCTCTCTGCCGACCTCAACGTATGCTGTGCGCTCGGTTCCTTGTGCTAGTGGACTCGGCAATAAAGGACTTGTACCCAGGAGTTCATACACCCCACTGAAGTTTCTGTGTTGGTCACGGCTTCCCTAAAGCGCCAGCAGGCCCCAACTCTCAGGAGCCGGCTGCTGCCTCATTCACCATCTCACCATTTACTTGCCTGAAATGACCTCTTCTGCCCGTGGGCCGCTAACAAGGGCTGGGCAGAAACTAGTGAGTTCCCATTCCGGCTTCCTGTCTTCAATCAGTATGTTCACATTTCCCTTCAAGGCATCCTGCCACCCTCAGGAGCTGGCACTGAATCTGCCTCCTCCTGTGGCGGTACTTTAGAGGCTGAGACAGGAGGACTGCTGAAAGTTTGAGCCAGGCTGGGTTGCTTAGTGAGTTCTAAGCCACCCTGAGCTAGCGTAGCAGTCTGTTAAAAAAAAAAAAAAAAATCAGGATGTGTGAGATGACTTTGAGGGTAAAAGCGCTTGTTGTGTAAACCTGACAACCTGAGTCGGACCCCCAGGACCCACTGGGAAAGGTGAGAACCTAGTCCCCAAGCTGCCTTCTATTTCCACACACACACCATAAAGCATGGTTCCCACCAACACCCCTCATCTCTCTCTCTCACACACAAACACAGAGAGAACACAGAGAGACAGAGTGGAAGCGGGGGTAATAAAACAGGCCAGGTGCATACCCTTTAATCCCAGCACTCAGGAGGCAGAGGCAGGTGGATCTCTCTGAGTTTGTGTCCAGCCTAATCTACATAGTGAGTTCCAGATAAGCCAAGGATGTATAGTAAGACCCTGTCTCCAAAAATAAAAGTTAAAAAATTAAAAATTTTTAATAAAAAACAAAACAGGAGCTGGAGAGGTGTCTCAGTGGGTAAAGGCATATGCCACCAAGCCTAATGACCAGAGCTCTGGAGCATATGAATGGCAGGAGGTGAGAAATGACTGTTAAAAGTTGTCCTCTGCCCTCCACAGGCAATCCATAGCATAAGTGTCCATGCCCCACACAAATGTAATAATTTAAAAACAAAAAAAAAAAAAAAAAAAATACAAAAGAAAGCCAGACTTGAATGCTTGCTCAGGCACCAGCTTGCCTGGTGCACAGGTAAAAGACAGTATAGACAGTATTTTGCCTTTTCTGACAAAAAAAAAAAAAAAAACCAACCACCTCCTAAATTCACTCTTCTTTCTGGAGGTTGCTGAGCTCTGATGGGGGTGAGCTGGGCCCCTGGATCACTAACACGCAGGGACTCCTGGACAGGTGACACCCCAAAGGCCCCTAAGGGGACTCACTGAGCACTCGAAGGGGTGCTGGCCCGTGTGAGCGGATCACATTGGGACACCTCCGGATATCTCTAAGTGGGGACCCACCCTGCTGGGGAGCTCCAGCTCCTGGCCAATCACAGCAGAGCCCTATGGTATTTGAGAGTTGGGGGGAATGCCCTTGGCTGAGATATTTTTGTCGTCCTCTATCCCATTAGCGCGAGCTCTCTGCTCACCCCTCAGCATTACTATGAGTGTGCACACGTGTGCACACAAGCGCACAGATGTACCCAGGGAAGATAAGTAGCCTTGCCCACTCTTCCCCACTACACACAAGCAGCAGTAATGGTGGCTCACCACTGCTGTCTAAATGGCCCTGGCAGCTGAGAAGGTAGGCAGGCAGCATGAGGCTGCCGCTGAAGTGATAGCAAGATCACCCTGGGGGCTTCCGGCCGGCCTGTCACATGTCAGCACTTCCCAGCAGATGCCACTGCCTCGTGGCATCCCTGGGGTGTCATGGCCGGGGACACTGCCGCTCCACAGTGGCTAACAGGCTCTAGCACGGGAGGTGCACACAGAGGCCGAAACTCTTGTTTTCTGCCTAATTATAAACTCACAGGGAGCGTGGGCTGCCTTTTCCTGTTCCTGCCTCTGGTTGGAAGCCTAATGACTTCAGCAGGAAGGAGACGACAGCCGTGGAACTGGACAAAGTCTGTGCATCAGGCATTTGCACCAGGCTCTCCATCCATCCCGTCCACCAGCCAGGTGCAAATGCTGTCATGGCAGTAAGACTCTCACAGAGCCAATGCATCAGCTTTCTCGTCGCTACGACAAAATGCCTGACAGAAATAACCTAAGGGAGGAGATGATTGTTTCAGCTCACAGGTTCTGAGGGGTTTCAGTCCATCACGCTGGGGAGACACATCAGTCTGTGGCAGTGAGAGCATGTGGAATCAGAGACTTAACACCAGGGGTAATGTCAAGGACCCACCCCTACCGACTTTTTCCCCCTTAGCCAGGCTCCACCTCCTGAAGGCTCCACAGCCTTTGAAATCGAGCCACAAATTGAAGAGCAAACATTCACGACATGAACATGTGGAAGACATTTCCGATTTAAACCAAAACAGCCAACCAGAGCCATGAGGTTTAGCATTCCTGTGACCAGGAGTGATAAACAGTCGCCACTGGTCTGTGGGTTGTTTTGCGGTTTTGTGTTTTAGGGGATGAAACCCAAGGCTTCCACATGTTAGACAAGTGCTTTACCACTGAGCCACATCCTCTGCCCTCCATCAGACTTTCAAAACCCCTAACTGTTTTAGAAAAACCTAAGCCAAGGACCAGATACCATATGCAGCATTCATGACTCTGGTGGCCAGAAGCTGACGTGGCTGAGTCCTCAGGAAAGGATGTGGGCCTTGCTGGGGAAATATATTTCTGTCTATTAAGGGTATATCCAAAGTCCAGGAATTTGGTGTAGAAAGTCAGAACAGGAATCAGACAAGAGACAAGGGGCTTCCTGATGTCGTTAAGCTACAATTTCTGACTTTAACCACATGCTGCAGGGCATCACTGGACATCAGCCCAGACTAAGTTCCAAAACTCTGTACCCTGAAACTCACAAGGTCCAGACAGGAACACCATGCACCTTCCTCAACCACCTCTCTATTCTATGCCCAAAGCTGCAGAGCACACTGGCCCATGTCTTAAGTCACCCCAGAGGGATCTCAGCTCTCTGAGATCTGACCTTTGGGGGACACAACAGGGCATGGTTTATGGGGGAATCTTTGGGGCAGGAGAAGCTGGCCCCAAAGGCAGGCCTGCAGAGTATTGCTCTTCTTCTTCCTAGGCTTAAGGAGACAATGGGCCATCTCATGACTGTCAGACTTGGCAGAACCCCGAGAGCCCCCCAATCTTGCTGAATGCTTGAAGGGATAAGCAAAATGTCAATATTTCTGTGTCTGAATGACATTTATTTAATCTGACTTCTGTGGATTATTGAGCGGTGGTGCTGAGCCAGCTGGAGCTGAGCTGAGGCCTGAGATGTCTATCTGCTGAGCTGTGTTTGTCTCGCTCTCCCTAAAAACACCTACGGCCCCCTCCCCTCTCTTCTGTGTCCCCAGCTTTCAGCCTGGCTGATGCTTTTCTGTGGATCCTGCCTTTAGTTTGGGCACTCAAGATTTGCACTGATCCAGGAATAAGCTGGACCATAAGGAATTATACTTTTCTATTGTTTTTATTTTATGTGTGTGGGTGTTTTGCCAGCATGTTCCGTTACCATGTGCATGCCTGGTGGCCACGGAAGCCAGAAGAGGGCATCAGCTCCCCTGCAACTGGAGTTACAGATGGTTGTGAGCTGCTATGTGGGTGCTGGGAATTGAACTCAGGACCTCTGGAAGAACAGACGGTGCTCTTAACTGCTGAGCCGTCTCTCCAGCCCCATTTATTTTTTTCTTTGTGTTGCATAAAGCTTGGTGGAACATGAATTCTTTTATGTCACCTTCACAGATCTGTATGAGGGGCATTATTCTCAATTTGCAAATGACGAAAATGAAGGCAAGCTCAGAGACTGGCTGAGGTTCCCACACCAAGTGCAGAGTGGGAAGTGAATCCAGTTCTTCCAATTCCCCAAGTATGGCTCTGCCCCTCTCCATGGGATATCTCCAATAGTGAAACTCAGGCATGCAGACAAGGAAGATGTTTGGGGTCAGGAGGATCCTGAATAACGTTTGTGGGAGTGTCTTACAAGTATGAACCTCAGTGAAAACACACAGAGATCCAGCTATGTCACACCAAGAACGCCTGCCTCCTTCTGCACTCAGGGCCAGACAATACGATCTCCCCTTGTTATGTCATCTTTAGTGTCACCTTGACGGGGTTTAGAATCACCATGAAAGCATACCTCTGGGCATGTTTGTAAGGATGTGACTGAAAAGACCCACCTGAGTGTGGCTGGCATCATTCCATGGGGTTAAGGTCCTGAACCAAATTAAAAAGAGGCTGCCAACAGCCATTTCTCTGCATGCTGATTACAAACACAATGTGACAACTTCCCTCGCATCCTGCCACCGAGCACTGCCTGCCAGGCTGGACTGCATCCTCAAACCGTGAGCCCAGACACATTCTTTCCTCCCGTAAGGTGCTTCTGCCAGGTAACTAGCACACATCCTTCAGTGCAAAGAACAAGTCACCTGCCTGTCCAGGCTGAGTGGGATTCGGGGTGAATGGCAATGACCCAACACTGTAACAGATCAAACCATCCCCTATGACTCATCTCCCACTGAATCCGTGCAGCCAGACTGTCCCTCTGACCACATCTCACTGAAGCCCGAGGCTAAAGACCTCTATCCGGGCTTGAAACTATTGCTCCTGCCTGCAAGTTTGTGTTCTTGACCTGGTTCATGAGGTTGTACAGAGGAGAGGGATCTGTCCCCTTCTACTTTCTGTGCGCGCATCCTTGGCAAGTTAAGCGTTCCTCTGTTTGCCTCAACGGTATCTCCTCTAGAAGGCCTCTTGCTAGGCAAGTTGAGGGTCATTGCCTGAACCCTGAAAAACAGCACTGCAAGTATTCCAATGCAACCATGTGGCCTCTCCTATGGCCCGTGAGACAGCAGGCTGGCGCTGTGACATACATCCACCCCTTAAGGTAGCAGGTAGTGGGTACGAGTTTGGATTCATGTCTGTGACATCTTCTCTATGCTCCCCTCGGTCTGGCTCCCAAGGCCTCGTAGCAATGTCAGTGGGTACCAGATTGGTTTAGCTATTTCCCCCAAGCTGGCCTTTCTTGCCTTCATTGAGCACAGATGGGAGGCTGTTCTCCTACATCCCCAGGTTAATGGGGATCAATCCAGGACTCCCCAGAGTGATCAAAGCCACTCCTTCCCATGATCCTCCTGATTTTAGAACTGTCACTAGAAGACTCCAGAAGGGCACCTGACTATTCAAGGCTTGTCTCCTTTGCCCAAAATACTACCAAAGGGGTGACTTTGAACCACCAGCAGACAGCACAGTAACCTGGCAGATACCAGCAAATGTGGCCACACCCTGGGGACAGGTGTGGGAGGAAATGGACAGATGAGAAGTGGCTTCCTTGCTAATTCCTGTGACTCAGTTGACAACAGATGGGGAGTCACCTGAGTGTGCCCTGAAACCTCTGGGGAGGTTCACAGGGAGCCATTCTAGCCAGACATTTGGACTTTCTCCAAAACTCGGGGTTAAAGTCCTTAGAGATGCTGGAAGCATGCCACCACAGGTTGAGGTTTGGGGACAATCTGGTGTCAATCTGGCCACTCCCTTAAGGGAGAGACACACTGCTGCACATCTGGAGAGTTCTGGAGCTTCCTCACCTCCATCTCAGCCTCTAGACTCCTGCCCTTGTTCACTCCATCTCTGTCTCCTCACTGGAGATAGTGGCACTCAGTGACCCAGGGCAAAGAGAATGCTGGGCTGCCCTCATCTTCATTTTCTCACTAGAACAGTCCAAAGCTAGAACACAACTGAGGCAGCAGCAGACTCCAACATCAGAGAGGCACTGAGGTCCACAGGATTGGCTGACATGCGTGTCAGTCAAGTTATGCTCTGGCCTCCCCAGTGACTATCCTCACAGACCCTTATTACCATGCTTTCTTGGAGGCTCTCTGGAGCTACCTCGAAGGATATTGCCTGGGCCAAATGACATTATGAGGTCCCCACACTCCTGGAAAAGACACCAGGCTCAAAGGAACCTTCAGAAGCAGCGGAGGGGTTGGGGCAAGGGTACAGCTATCCTGATAGCCTTCCCCTACAGGAAATAAGGACTCGTTCCTCATTTGTCCCACATCTGACCACAGGAGCAGCCAACCGTGAGTGACCAGCCACTGAGGTGGAATGACAGCTTCTCATGCAGAAGGCTTGGGTCACTGGGAGCCCCTGATTAAGCCTGTGTCAACCACCAGACAAGGGGTATATGTATTAGGATTTCCAGGCCTCCACAGAGAGGGCAGAGATCCATTCACCCTAGGCGTGGCTCCAGGGAGAAAACAAACCACCGACTATCAGTCTGTTTGTGCTTTTGACACATTATCAGTTTTTATTTAAAAACATGCTAAAAACATGGTGTTCGTTAAAGCAGGACCTGGGATGAAGGAAATGCAGACAAGGCATTGCAAGCAGAAAGTGCATTCGAAACCAATAAGCGTGCACTCCTGGCTCTCCGGCCACCCAGGGACAGCAAGGCAAGTAGAGGCCCAAAGACCTCACTCCTCAGAATGCTCACGCAGGGAGGGGAGGCCAAGACTCCACCATCATGGAGGAGGGAAGGGAAATGAGAAAACAGGAACATGAGAGAGGGATGCCAGACCAAGGGGCCGTGGGGCCAAGAGCAGACCCCAAGCACCTGGCACCCAAGCTCCCCGTCCCGTGCCATGTCCCTGCTAGTCAGCACCTCCACCAGAGGGTGGGCAGGGGGCCAGAGAGGAGGGGACAATCAATTCCATCCACTTGAAGTGCCTGGAGGCTTGGCCACTTAATTCTGAGTCAGGCCAGAACATGCGCAAGGACAGCTGAGGTGCTGGCCCCGGCTGGCGGAGAGACAGGATGACACTGTTCCAGCTCAAAGAGTGTAGAAGCGTAAGGAGACCTGCACCCTGACACTTTGTCAGTCATCCAAGACCCGTTTCCAGACCCTGCCCTCTGAGCCCTTCTACCAGTCAGTTGGCTGTGGAGAAAAGCCCTTGCTCCGTCAGGTGTTTCCTTGAGGTCACCTGCAAACCAAGAGGACTTTCTAAATCAGATCTGCAAACTGCTTGTGTGGCACCTGGGACCCAAAGGAAATGACTCGGCCTTAGGCCAGAGAGGCCACAGGTAAGGAAGGTCTCATGGCAGGGTTGTCCTCAGTAAGCTCACAGCCGAGAGGATCAGAGAAGAGCTGAGCCAACTCCCTTGGCCTCACTTGGTGTGGCCTTCTAGAAAATAGGGGCCATCCCCCAAGATAAGCAAGGGTTTCAGGACATCCACTCGGTGCATGGAGACCTCTGCCCCGTGGAGATGCTGCAGATGACTACAAAGCCACGCACAGCTAAAGCGAGAAGGCAGTTCGGAACTTAGGATCTGGCTCTGCTGAACAGACAGTTGAGGTGAGGCTGGGGAGCATGGGGGACTTCAGCCAAGGCTCCAGGGACCACCACCACCCTGAAGCACTCCAGACACGTGACTGCCTCCCAGGCTGCTGAGACTTTGCTGTTGATGTTAGCAGAAGGTTAAAAATTCCATAGGTAGGCATAAACAAACAAATCAGGCGCCACATCTGCTTTCTGACTGTTTAATGGGTCTATCTGAACTCCATCTCCTAGAACTGGCGACTTCTGGGTCCAATTTCCTGGTAGCTCCCTGCTATCCTCTCTCCCATCCCCCAAACCTGAATCCTGAAAATATTGAAAGTTATAAACCTCTGGTCCTGCACTGTCTGTTATTCAAGGAGGTCAGAGGGGTTAAAGGTTGGTTGGGTTATGTGACCAGGTTGGGGAAGGCCTGGCCTGGTGGGAAATAGTGGTAAGAAGTCAAAGGGCATGAGAAAAGCAGCTACCATGTGAAACCCTGAGAATGAGGCACTCTGGATCCCAGATGGCTGCCGGGCCAGTCCCACAGGCCCTTGTCTTTGCCCTGTTCACTGAAGGACATGCTGGGTATCCGTGCTGGCAAGACTGCTGCACAGCTGGGAATGGCCTGCCTCCATCTCCCACGCCCAGCACTGGGCATCCAGAATGAGGGTCTTCTCCCCAGGACTGCTGTGGCAATGTGAGCCTGACTTCTCAGGTCTTCTGTAATCTCGGCTCTTTGAGGTTACATAGGATATGATGCCAGCTACCCAGGGTGGACAGCAATGGATCCTAAGGACGGGGGGTCCTTAGACCTCCTCCCCTCAGCAGGGCAGGCAGCAACTGAGTGAGTCTGTGGGGTTGGCTAACTCTGCCTCCCCTCCTGGTAGTCCTGAAAGTCTGTTTCAGTCTGGGCAGCTGAACATGTTTGCTTCCACTGCCCAGAACAAGGTGAGCAGAACAGGGTCTGAACCAGAGGAATCCGCAGCAGGAATGTGTGAGAGTGACCATTTGGATGCGTGTGGGTCAGGAGGGAAGCCCACAGAGGACTGAGCGAGGAGGAAGGAAATGCCACAACAATGTTCTGACTGGACCCCTCCCAGCAAAGCATTTCACGGCCTCTGTGTCCTAAGCATGCCCTGCTGATGTGGCCTCCCCAGCTCAGGCACATCCTATCACTCCTGAGTAGGATGCTCGCCATGCTTTGTATCACACCTGCCTCTTCCGGCCCCATCCATGGTCGCCAGGCCTGGCAGGGTCCCATTTCATGGCTGCATCCTCTCCCTCCGGGTACATTCTGTGAGAGAGCCTGGCACTTCTCACCCTATAGCCTCACGAGTGTTGCACAATGGTGTGTCCTCACTGAAAGCGGATGGAGGTCCCTTCTCCCTTACCCATCCCCACCCACCAGAAAAGGAAACTCAAACCGTTATGGAAATCAACACAGTAAAAAGTTATAAATCAGAAAGCTAACCCTAAACTTATCCGAGAGATAATATTCCTGAATAATCATAATCAGAGTAAAATTTAAAAAAAAAAGTTACACTATAGTATAAAAACCTGGGCAGGGTGTTCCAGGGGGCCTGGCCTGGTGGTGCCATACTGCACCCTGGCCGGCTCTCTGGCTGGGCAGCCACGGACAGCAGTGGCCTGGGTGGGGCGAACTATCCACCCCACACAGGGACAAGTGCCAATGTGAAGAAGGGCAGGGGCAGAAACCCCTCGTTGAGGAAGCTTCTTCCTTGACCCTGCCCACCCTGGCGTCTTTGGCAAATATGCAGGTGCAGTAATCCAGATGCCCAAGCCCTGAGGTCTATGCATGATGTCTCCTCCCTGGGCCTTTGCCCTCCAAGAGTCCAAGGCCAAGGATGTGGACAGGGAAGGGCAGGCTGGCAGGTAGTTCAAGGGAGCCATGGGAGGGCAGGCAGGAGACACAAGGCTCAGGTCCTCTTCCCTGGCACAGACAGTGTCCGGGTGGAGCCAGTCGCTGCCGAATGCTTAGGCATCATACTTTTTACCCGTCCGGTGAATATGCTGGAACAGTGTCATGGAAAAGGCCATTCCCAGGATCTAAAAGGCAAGAAGAGAGGACTTGAGATGTTCTCGTGGCCTGGGGTCAAACCTTAGTTTTGCAAGCTTGGGACTTCCCTAGAGAACCTAATGTAAAAGCGGACAAAACCCAGTGTGCTGGGAGAGGAGCCAGGGAAGAGAGAAAGTGCGGTCTAGGAGGCCACACTGCAGACTCAGCCTGGAACCACACACAGGCGGGGGCACTTCAATCCCTTCACGCCATGTGAGCAGAAGACCAGATTCCCCAGGCTACTCACAGGCTAGCATGTCAGAGGCATGGGAAGAAGGCAGAGGGCACACAGGACCTGAGCCTCCATGGGGGTAAGAGGAGCTGAGGTGGGAGAGTGAAGCAGGAAGCAGGGGGTGGTAGGAGTCATTACATCCCATGCCAACACCTGCTGTTTGACTCGTAGCACTGAGCACCACCTTGCTCACTGCCTGTGACGTCACTGAGACTCCGCAGCGCGGCAGCGCGTGACGTCACAGACTCTGCAGCGCGGCTTCGTTACAGGGCCTGGACACTGCACACCTCACACACTAGGCCGTGTAAATACCAGACTGCCCTGCTTGGGCTCTCACCCCACCCGGGGGTCGGGGCGCCTGGGGGACCCCTCACCTGCATGATGAGGACGCACATCCCCACTGTGCCCAACACATGCTTGTTGTCATCAAACCACAGCTTCACCTTCTCGTAGCAGCCCTGGGGAGCGAACCACGGGTTACGGTCCTGGCCCAATGTGAGTTCCCAGTGGCCTGGCCCTTTCTTCATTTTGCCCCAGCCCTGGTCTTTACTCTTAATTCCCGTCCCTTCCTACCCCTTAGCCCCTGCTCCTCCCTAGTAGCAGCATGCAACCTCCCAGCTCCACCTGCACACCCCAGCTGCAGAGCCTCAACCCCATCCGATCCCTGATCCCTTACCTTCCGATTCCCAAGTGTGGGTCCAGCACACATGCACACGAGTACACACACACACAGACACACACACACACACACACACGCACGCACGCACGCACGCACGCACACGCACATTGTTGGCTTCGCTCCAGTGTACCCCTCTCCCCATCCCACAGTGAGCTAATTCCCGTCACTCCTCCCGCCAGGCACATCCAGCACAGGAGCTCCTGGGGTCGGCGAGCCCCCGGGGCACTGACATCCAGCCTCACCGTTCTCCACAGGGGGGTGGTGCTGTTGCGCCCACAGCCCTGGGAGTTCTCCATGCAGCAGCGGTCGGGAACTGTGTTCTCCCCCAGCACTGGATACCAGTCTGTGTAGTCAGTGACTCCACAACACCGCATCTGTGGGGGGTAAGCCCGGATACGTCACCGCTGGCGCACCCTCACAGGCTTTCTCCCCCTCTGGCCAACCCCACCAAGGCAGCCACCCGGGAGTGCAGGGATGAGAAAAAGAGCTTCCTCTTGCCCCTTCTCAGAGCTGTAGCAAGGCCCTTGGAGGCAGTAAGTGACTCCTCTTTTCTAGAGCAGCAGGGGGAGAGGGCAAGGCTATTTGCTGCCCCTCAGGGCTGCGCTCCTGCTGTGGGGCGGGACAGCCCAGCCCAACATTTGCTCACCAGTACCTTGAGCTCCTTCCTTTGTGGGTACGGTCCCTCCCAAGCTGACTGCCCATCCACCCACTCCCCATTCCTTCCAGGGTCTATGTGGGGTGCAGACCGGGGAATAGACACTTGTGTTCCTGTCAGTGTCAGAGCCTGTCACCTGAGCCACACATGATCTGGTGAGTCCTGTCCTTCGCCACGAAGCCTGGGCACTCACCATAACTCCCCTGGCCTGTCCACTCCCCGGCCAGGCATCTGCCTCCTGTGCTCACTGCCACGCCCCTCCCCAGTAGTACCCCACGGTACTGCCTGGCTCTTCGGGTTTAGGCAAACGCTCCAGCGGGAGCGGCTCCCCCAGACAGCACAGGTGACCTCCAGCCCGCCCCATCCTAGCCCTCGCGGAGGCCCGAGCCGCACCTCGGCCTGGATGATATTCCAGGCGTTCTTGAGCCCCACGTTGTTCTCAGTGTTGTACAGCAGCAGCCCTTCTTTCAGGTCCTGCTTGGCATTCTCGTTCACCTGGCAGATCAGGGGCGATGGCACGGGTCGGCTGGGTCCGGGCCACCCTGGCTCTCCTCCCTAACCCACACCAGGCCAGCTGGAAGTGGCTGGAGTGGGGCCCTGGGGCCTCTGGCACGCCACTCTGTAGGTTCTGCTAGCCACTGTTTCCCCTGGCCTGGTCCCATGCTGGGGCTGTCTGAACTTCTGTATTGCTCCCCGATACAAGGTTTACCTTGTCCATGTAGACAAAGAAGAGGATTAGCAGAATCAGCTCGGCCAGAAGGATCATCAACAACACAATGAAGAACTGAAAGACAAGTCCAAACATGGGTGTGGGATAATGGCAACAGCCAGGGGTGGCTGCCTACCGAGAAGGCAGGGGTTAGGGGGGGCAAGGGATGAGCAGGGTTCTCAGGTCTGGGAGGCGTCACCACTCCTAGGCAAACCCCAACAAACCACATGTCAAAGAGGGGTCGGGACAGAACATTACAGAAGCAATTTCTACAGACCTAGGTTTGGGAGCCCCAGAGAGCAACGAAGGGACATGGGGTCCAACTTACACTGAGAAGCAGACACTTGTTTTCCTTGATGGCTCCCAGGCATCCCAGGAAGCCCGTCACCATGACGATGGTGCCTATGGCGATGACAAGATTGGCTGCAGACAGCGAGGGGAAACTGGGGGAGAAGGTGGCAAAGTTGCCTTGGGACACGGAGAGCCAGATGCCCACTCCAAGCAGTCCGCAGCCGCAGAGCTGGAGAGAGAGGAGACCAGTCAGGCCAGCATTGCTCTTGTGAGGACTCACCCTGAATCCAGACCTTCTGAGGCAGGAAGATCCACCGTAAATCTGGGCCACACCTTCTGGTGGCAGCCTATATACCTCTATATAGGACATGGAAGACGGATGCGCTTGCTCTCTGCATGCTTGCCCTCGCTATTGGTGGCCAGGCCAGTCCTTCACTGGTGTTAGGTATTAGAGCCTATTTCTTCTGGAGTCTGGTGTATACTAAAGACCAGATGAGACAGCCAGCTTCATGGACTGAATGAACAACTACTGGATTCTTGGACTTTCCATGGAACAGATTGCCATTATTGAAATAGTTGGACCACAGCCCATAAACCACTCCATCAAAGCCCATTTTTTTGTGGTGGTGGCACATGCCTTTAATCCCAGCACTCAGGAACAGAGGCAGGTGGATCTCTGTGAGTTCAAGGCCAGCGTGGTCTACAGAGCTAGTTCCAGGACAGCCAGGGCTACATAGTGAGACCCTGTCTTGAAAAACAAATAAACAAACAAATCCTGTGTGTGTGTGTCCTGTAAGTTCTGGTTCTCTAGAGAAGAACCCTCACTAATAAGATGAAGGAGTTGAGCATTGTTTGTTGAAAGGCCTTTCCCAGGCAGCTACTGTGTGCTGGGAAGGTGCCAACTGCCTGCCTCTCTGAAGTGAGCACAGCTCCCGCTCTCTGGCCGCTCTCACTGTGGGAAAGAACACGCAGAGACAAGGATATCTACGCTCAGGCACCGGAGGTGAGCGGAAGAGGCATTGGCTTCTAGGAGGTGTGTTTCCTTCACTCACATGGCCCATGGACTCTAACCAGGCACACAGTTATCAAACAGCAGGACGAGGAGAAAGTAGTTAAAACCCCGGGCCAACATCCTGACTAAGAAGAAAGGAAATCCTCATGATCACATACATACGACCAACACAAGCACACATAAAAAAAAAAGACAGAGTGTGCCGTGTAAATGGCAAGGCAAGAACAGAAAAAAAGGGTGCATCAAAGTTAAGAGGCCTTAGGTTAGGACCAAGCCTGTCCACCATGGTGGAGCAAGCTGCTCTGTGGCCGCCAGAGAATGACGGCAGTGACACGTGTTAGGAGATTAAAAAAAAAAGAAGAAGAAGAAAAGAAAAAAAAGAGGGAATGCAGCCAGGGGACAGAGAGAACAGGACCTTGAAGGTAGGGAAATGTGGGTGTTCTGCCCCAGGGCTGAGTGTGACATGATCCAACTGATGTTTTTGACAATCGTCACGGCTGCTGTTCCCAGAAGAGGCCACTGAGGGCATGAGACAGCCAGCGCATGCAGAGACTACGCAATGACTAGGGGAGGGCTGGTGGACGCACATCATGCAGGGGCAATGAGACACGGTCCCATGGGAGACACACAGTGTTCAAAGCGAGCTGGGTCGGGGGACTGAAGAGATTCAGATAAACGGGAAAACAGAAAGGTGGCCCAGACCACACAACCACTATTATTAAGCCAACAATGATTCAAGGAACTATGGGGATCCGGAGTTAGGTCATGTAATAGCAACCAGAGCAACCAGAGTGACCTTCCAGTGTGACTACATCAAAGCTCCTAGGATTCTGGCACTTACAGGCCCAGAACCACCACCTCTTCAAAGCCTTCTAGTGAGAATGGGTCTGTGCTAATGCCCTCTGGGACCACTAGGTGGCGCTCCAATCTGGTTCAGAAGCTTGCTAGGTCGGCCTGCGATGCCCTAGACTTCCAGCCAGCCAGTCACCCTGACTTTCTTCAATCCGGTCAGTTTTCTGTGCTGCCGTCTCAATTTTTCTTTCATTAATCATACCCTAGAAAATTCATGATTTTGAACCAAAGATTTATAGCTCTAGGAATCTGACCCTGGAATGAGTAACAGAAAACCCTCTAGGGCAGGTATTCGCTTTAGATGAAGGAGCCTGGCCTGGGGACTCCAGAGGCTGGAAGATGACCCTGCCATGCTGCTGCTGAAGGCCTATGTCAGGGCAGAGCTTTCTCCATTCTACTCATTTGGAACAGGCCTGCTAGGGTCCCTTCTATTCTTGGGGTGCTCTTATGGTGTCCAGGAGCATGTCTCTGGGAAACCTCAGCAGTTCAGAGCTTCCCAGGCCACGTTTTCCCAACTGGCTCTCTGACTTCACACCCCATATCCTTCAATACGGTCTTTAAGCTTCGCAGGCGTCAGCTCAGGAGCATTCTTCCACCAGGCGGGTAAGAGCTGAACCCCACACTCGTGTCTCGTCTTACTTCCCACCTGAGGTCCCACCAGGCTGAGATCCAGGCCATTCCAGCACATAAGAACCTGAGCCTGACTCCTGGACGGCCTCCTTCCAAAGCTCCCACGTCCATTCCGCACCCCCACCCTACCCCAAGCTCTCAGGCAACCTTCTGTGCACAGGGCATGCACAGTGTGACCCAGGTCCTGGGGGGGGGGGGGTCCACTGTTGACATCAACATTCCATGACAGGCTACAGATGACCCAGCCCCACCTGAGGTTCCAGGCAAGAGGAGAACAAAGACTGGAGCTTCATTAGCTTCATTTTACAACTAATGACACAGAGGGAGACAGAAAGATGCTGGCAGGCTAGGACAAACCCCTACTCTCTGGCTTCAGGTGCTACTCCTCCTGTTTCTGCTCCTCCCTAGGAGAGCTGACTGCCAGGTAAGAAGCCCTCGATGCATCCTGCCTCACCCCTACCCACACTAGACCCCTCTGCCCTGGCCCTGCTTTTCAGTCCACCCTATAGAAAGCTGCCTGGACCCCTTTTCCAAAATGCCTCTTTGCTAGCATGGGTCTTGTGTGCCTGAAGATTCTGTAGAAGATTGCGCCTTTAAACTGTGGTTCTGGTTGGACCACTGCTCTGTTCACTTCTAGCCCAGGCCTAGCCAGGCTTCAGGAGTGCTGCCCTCCCCCCCTAGACCAGTGGATCTCAGGTAGGAGAGGTCGTGCTCTCTGGGCACACCTGGAGACACTTATGTTATCACAGCTCAGAGGAAATGTTCTTGGCATTTAGAGCACAGAGGCCAAGGGATGCTGCTGAACAAGCTACAGTGCTCAGAAGAGGCCACCACAAGGAACTATTTATCCTGATACCAAAGAGGCTGGAAAACACTGTCCTGAGCCCCCTCCCCAGGCCAGGTACCAGTCAGTTCCTTAAGAGCATTGCCACTACAGAGAGCGCTCCTATCTCCCTGATGACCCCGGGAAGAATGGCAGGATGGCACAGACGCTCTGTGAGGCCTCAAGCTGGAGCAGAAGCTGGTCAACTCGCATCTGGTAGATGGCTGTGGGCAAGAGAGAGGAGGTGACTGCAGACACAGGCTTATTGTGGGGTTGGGGAACAAGGCCTGCCCTGGGTAGGTAGGGGGACATAAAGACAGGAAGCCAGCTTTAAAGTCAGAGCAGGGCCATGGCCAGGGTGAGGTAGGAGGACGGAAGGGAACCACCCCCATCCCCGTGGTAGAAACCATTCAGGAACCACAAGGCCTTGGTGGCCTAGCCAAAGCTGGGTGCCAGAGAGCTTAGTAAGCGCCATTCTAGAAAATTCCCTTCTAAAACCAGAGGGTTGCCTCAACTGAGATGACTGAGCTACCATAGAGCCCAAGGCTGAAGAATCTGGGGCGAGGCAGAGTGACTCAGGGGTATCAGGATCCAGCCAATACAAGCCCCAACTAAGGGATGTCATCAGCCCCCTCATGCAGGCTGGGCCTGGTTGGAACCTGTCTCCAAGCAAGGGCAAGCCAAGGAGGCTTCTAAGTTCTAAGCTTCCTCTGTAGCTCCCTCAACCAAGGGACTTTCAAAAGTTTCATTTCAGGGCTGCAAAGAAACCCACATAAGAAGTTGAAAAGACAAACCCCTACCCTAATGTCCTCAGACAGCCCATCAAGGCTGGGACTTAGTTCCGTTCTGTTTATAATATATCTCAATAGCCTGGAATAGCTCCCCAACCTTGTCTACGCATTGGAGCCACTTCTCAGGACCATTTGATCTGGACCTTGCCCTGGTCCTGCAGAAGGAAAGGTGCAGGCCCCAGAGAGAAGATGGGCCCATCGGCCTGTGTCAGCCTTCCCCATCTCCTAGGAACTTTCCCAGCACATGTCTGGCAGGTAAACTGAGGCCCTAGAAGCATGTGGACACACCAAGACAGCCCTACAACCAAATTCCCCACACTGTTTATCAGTAATAACTGGCTTACCATATCCATGCACTATTTCATCTCCTGTGTGGCTCATACTGACTGACCAGGTTAATACACATTTCTGTCCCCAGGTGGGACGCTCGCACAGGCACCCCACGTCTCCAGGCCCACGGCTGCTCTAAATTCTCCTCACCCCGGGGCTTCTAGCCCCATGAAATCAGGAAGAGGTGGGCCCTCCCAGGATGGACTGATTCAGGGCATGGTCATGAATGCATGTTAGCTCTCACCCACCCCAGGCTTCTGTCACCAAAACCACGGCTCTTTTCGGGGACCAGAATCATGGTCTTCCATTGTTCTTCTACCATAGGGCCCAGAAAAACACTTGGAATACTAACTATGTCTCCAGCAGCTGAATGGATGAGTGGGTAGGTGGGTGGGTAGGTAGCTGAGCAGGCCACAGCTCAGAAACAGGAGCACACACACACTCCCACTCACAAAAAAAGCTCCTTATATGCCCTTTCCTCTCCACTCCTAGAAACCCAAGTACCCCCTCAACAACTCCTAACCCAGTTGGGGCGTGCTCGCCAGCCCCAGCCTAGCACAGCCCTGCACACCACTGGCCTTGTAAACACCACTGTCTCCTACGCCTGAAGGGAGCTGCCCCAGACATGGGCTCCGGGGGTAGACTCCAGAAGTGGGCCCACACCATCCCCAGGCCTCCATTATCTCCTCTTGGCTAGCAGGAGACATCGGCTCCCCAATGCTTTCCATGAGCTGGGGCCAGGCTGGTGACATAATGGCATTTAATAAATAGCAGATATGGCAAATGAGAGA